TTAACTGGTTAATTGATTAAATTAAAATTAAAATTTATATTTTTAATAAAAATTAATTATAAAATAGTATATTTATTGTACACTAAGAGTATATAATAGAAAATTTCATTTATGAAAATATTTTTTATATTATTTTATTGAAAATATTCTAATAAATTTATAAAATAAATTGTATTTTTATTATATAATCTACTCTATAAATCATAAATCTCATAATTAATACTATTCTAAATAAATTTTTTTTTATTGAAGTAGTAATTAATTAAAAATAAATATAAAATTTTATTAATTATTATACTTATATTTTATTAGATAAAAATTTGAGCTAATTAAAATTAAATGGGATTGAGTAATAGTGCGTAATAATATTTGTGAGATCATTTTGAGTTCTGAAAATTCAAAAATCCCACAAGTCTTGTTTTCAAAGAAAAGAGAATTTTGACTGTTGACAACACTGACCATTTCATCAAAAAGCTATTTTGGCAAAAGTTTATGAGCTTGATTTTAGTATCATTTTTTAATACATGTAAGTTTTGTAAGTAGAATGATAACCGCTTACATTTTAAATAATACACTTACAAAGATCCAAACTTGTTCCACCTAAACCATCAATATCATCAACTAATCTATATTTTATTGGGCTACGGATAAGATTATGCTTTCCTTAATACCCTTTCCAATGTGCCTTTTCACCTACTTATGCATGCTAACCACCTTAGTGGTTTAGTGCTAATATCTAAGATATTGAATCATTGATTGGTATGTATTTTCATTTAATATATTACATAATATATTTATTAAAAAATATTACTTTTAGAAATATATGTTAAACATCAAACCGTTAGGCTTTAATGGTAAAAATTGACGATGTTAGCCATGGAATGGATGGAGGAAACGAAATTGATCACTTTTTGAATAGTAGAGGGAGGACATGTGAGCTCAAAATGAAGTAGAGGGATGACTTGAGGTGATTCTATAGTAGAAGGGTTAAATTGAACTTTTTCACAAAGTAAAGGGATGATAGTTGGCTTTAACCCCAAAATAGAGGGATGATAGTTGGTTTTAACCCTTATTCTTATCCATTCTCACTAGACAGGATGAGAATAAAAACATGAATTTTGTCCATTTAATTTATTTAAAAATATAAATTTATTGTCAACCAACTTAATAACTTAATAATTATTTTTTTTTATTAAAAATAAAAGATTTTAAATTCAACTTATATGACATACGAGTGATATGAGATAGGGGATAGGAAATAGTTATCTATAATTATTTAATTAAAATAAAAAATAAAAAATAAATTTATTAATTTTTAAATAAAATAATAAATTTATACTTTTAATTTTTATTTAAAAATTAAAAGATAATGCTAATTTAATAAACCACCATATAAAGTAAAATTCGCTTTTTTTATCTGTAAGATATTCTTATCTGCACTTTTTCTCATCCACTAATTGTTAAATCAACAGCTCATTTTCCTTTATTCCGACAATACCCCCACGATCTCAATTTTCCACAAAGCCAAGCTTTAAACTCAACCCCAGAAAAAAAAAATCTAAGAATTATGTCGTACAATTATATTTTATTTTTTATTTTTGATAAAAATAATTATTAATATATTAATATTATTAAATATTAACAATTGAAGATTCAATTTTCAAATTTAATGAATTATCTATCAACCTTAATGAGATGCACGATCATCAAACTATTTTGACGGAGTTCATACAATTTTATGAAAAAAAAAAGGTTGGCATTTTTCTCCGAAAATTCTAATACATTTCGAAGTTAGAATTTTACAATTCAGTAAACATGATCAAGTTGATCATTTCTTAAAAAAAGAAAAAAAGAGAAATACTTAGGGATAAATTAAAAAAAAAATTCTGATTTTCTAATAAAAAAATAATAATATTCCTCACTGTGCCGGGGAATAGGGGCACGCATGCATATTCGATATTCGATTCATTGTGCCGTCCGTCCTTCTTCTTCGATCAATCTAGGAACCCAGTTTTTTCCAAAATTGCATTTCTGACCATCGTCAAATCTCTTCCTTTCAATGTCCTCCCTATCCCTTCATGAACCGAGAACGATGCGATCCTCGTCCTCGCCAAAAACTCGTGCGGCGGAACCCTCCCGTCTCCCTGATCATTCCAATCATCCCCTTCCACATCATCATTATCGTCGCCCTCCCATCTCCTCCTGTTATCCCTGTACTCTCCTCTCAAGATCTTCGACCAGTCCGGTACGTTCACCGGCAGCGAAGCCGGCCTGAAGCAGCCTCCTCCCCCCCCAGAATCACAGCGTTTCGCTAGCGACGACGGCCGTTTCGAGATGCGTGAGTTCCGGAACTCAGGAGACTCGTCGGACCGAGTCGAGACCGAGTTGTATAGATCTGACTCGTCGAGTTCGAACTCCGAGTCACGACCGAGTACTACTGTCTCGTAATGGCGGTGTTGATCGCCGGAGAGAAATCGGTAGTTCTGTCTCGAGTGGTAGCTTCTGCTGCTTGCTGCCATCATCCGAACCGGAAAATTCTCCGATGGGTATAACTTTATCTTTCTCTCGTAGTTCAAAATTGAAATGGTTTTTCTGAGCGCTCTGGGGTGTTGTGTTTGGTTCGGCTCCTTTTTATAGAAGTTTGGGTTGCATAGTGGATAAGCTCTGTTCATTTTTTACGCTCTGCAACTTCTTTCAAGTTAAATTACCAGCAAACCCCGCTATTTTGATGGACACGCCACGTAGGTGGGATC